CATTTTAAAGGGATAGTTCACCCAAAAATGAAAAATTTGATGTTTATCTGCTTACCCCCAGGGCATCTGCTTACTCCCGATTTTCATTTTTGGGTGAACTATCCCTTTAATCTCTTTCATGTTAAACTACATTTTTGCAAAGCAATGTGAAATGTTTGCTCACATTGAACCCTCAAAATCTGTCTTTTAATCTGCTGGGATTTTATTGCCTCGTGCATCATTTTCTCTTTTAACTAGAACAGAAGAATGCATGTCGCTCCTAATTAGGATTGTTAGATTGGATTTGTCTGTGAGATGAGGGGATGATCTCTGTGTGATGGTACCTTTGCAGGTCTTGCGGTCCAGCTGTAGGGTGAATCCCACCGGGCAGCTGCAGCGAACTCCAGTCACGGCGTCATGACACGTGCTGTCACAGCCTCCGTTATTAACCGCACACGTCTCTGAAAACACACACACACACACACACACACACACACACACACACACAGAGCAGCATTTAGGACAGGATCAGCTGGACAAATATGTGGATATCAAACCTCATGAACATCCCGGATGTCTCGCACACACTGAACAGCTTTGATTAGTTTAGTCATGAACGCAGCACATGCAAGCCAGCAGCAAATGTCTGTCAAACACCTTGTTATTGAGTGTCGTCTAATGGGAGGGTTAGAGTTCAGTTCAGCTAAAGCATCTGTTAAGCAGCAGATTAATTAAATTAATGACACTTTAAACATTATACATTTGCATAAATTTGAACTTTGTTGCATCACTAAGACTCAAATCATTAAAAAAAATTTAATTTTTACATTCAAAATTACAAAATTTGTCACTTTGTACAAATAAACCACCCTTTTAAGTATTTAAAAGAATAAAATGTTTTATTTATTTATTTATTTATCAATCTATCTATCTATCTTGATACTTTCAGGGTTTGGGGTAGTCATTAAAAACGACAATACATGAAAAACAAAAAAAATAACATTTTAATCTGTTATATTAATGATTATAATTATTATTTAATTGTATTATTATTATTTTATTTATTTTAATTGTTATGTATGTTTGGGATAGTCAATAAAATCTTTAACAATACATAAACAACTAAAAAATAAAATTTTAATCTATTATATAGTGACGCTTATAAATAAATAGATTAAGTTATATTAATGATTATAATTATTATTTAATTGTATTATTATTATTTTATTTATTTTAATTGTTATGTATGTTTGGGATAGTCAATAAAATCTTTAACAATACATAAACAACTAAAAAATAAAATTTTAATCTATTATATAGTGACGCTTATAAATAAATAGATTAATATTAATAATAATTATTATTAATTTAACTGGTTACTTTCAGGATGTGGGGTAGTCAAGAAAGAAAGAAACAAAGAAAGAAAGAAAGAAAGAAAGAAAGAAAGAAAGAAAGAAAGAAAGAAAGAAAGAAAGAAAGAAAGAAAGAAAGAAAGAAAGAAAGAAAGAAAGAAA